TGCGGTGTGTATGGTGACTGCATGTTTGGACGAGGGCACCGCACGAAAAAGCACCGATGTGAATGGCCTTGAAACTTGTTACGTGGGTCATTTCCAGGCGAAGCAAGGATACATCCATGCGTTGCGTACGTTTCACATTGAGTGAGCTTGTAACCTCGTTCCATCCGCAAGCACACACATGCCATAACGCATAATACCCGCAACAGGCTTTGTTCGACGTAGGGCAAGCAAAGCAATTGCAGATGTGAGCGTGGTTAGATGTCGTGTGCATCAATTATCCCAAGAGCCAACCTCATGGCACCAGGCTCTCATGGCAATCGATACTAGTGGCTTTGATCCATGCGTTGAAAAAAATCCATCATGGGAGCTGAATTTTCGGCGCCCACTGATGCAGCATTTGCGCTACTTCACAAATTGCATTTCTTGAATGTGCTGAGTATGAGCCTGGTTAGCCAACAACGGACGATGTCGAATAGAGAATTGATTAACGCCATTGAATGGAGAATGCAAAAACAACATCGAAATATTTGCAGCGACTAACAGTTTTACCCACTGTGACCGAAGCATTACAAAAAACGGAAACATTTCGGTTGAACACTTGTGGCAACGAAGGCGACTTTGGGTCTCCTATGCGCTTGTCTTGACTGGACATCCCTGGATTTAGGATGCAGCGTCCTGTCTTCGAGCTCATTTTGGAAAGGGTGTCACAGGCTGTGTCCCGGTCAATGGTTGGCGCCGCTTTGAGTCGGCAGTTTTGGGCGTTGCTGGTTTGCTGTTGTGGGTATATTAAACTGCACTGTGCAGTTCGCTTAAGGTCTTCATCGGCCGTGATTGCTGGCATCTAACATCGGTGATTAAAAACGCCCCAATCCAGGCAGCTGAATGGTTTATGCAGGATGATGCGTGCTAGTGTGCGTGCATCGAGGCATATTTCCTAGCACGGTTTTCCGTTTTCTCCTCCATCAGGAGAAGCTAGTGGTCGTCGAGATCTCCTCCCGACATTAGCCTGCAGCTTTACCCTCTCATGCGATTCAGCAAGTTTAAAGTCATGTAATAGTATGGAAACGTGAAATGGATGTGATGTTGCAGCTGTTGGGCAAATCCAGCGTGATCAATATTTTTGGACAGATTTCTCGTAACACGTGCAATCAATTTTCAAAGAATTTCCTCTTCTGCCATCAAAGCCTGTGTGAATCTGCTGTCAGTAGGTGGAAAGATAAATCCTCTTTAAGACGCGACGACTGGACCGAGATAGGCCAGACCACCCAAGTTGACATTTTATCTTAGTTCAAGCAAAGCTCACTTGACACGCAGCCTTTACATTTGCTGTTTATTATAAAACAATCAGCAGTATACCAATTCATGTATTTTCGGGGTAAAATATGCCAAAAACATGTTTTTTTTAACCACAGGCTATTAATAAGTCAGATAGCTGAGCCCGAAAGTTTTGTAAAGGTTGCCACATGTCAGTCGCTGAAAAACGAACATGAACAAATCACTTATCATCCACATCTTAGCTATTGCGACTAACATCACATCAGAGACCCTCTAACCAATTAAAACTACTCAAATTTGAAACGCAGCCTTTAAAGGTACGGCCAGCTTGACTCGCACCAGAACCGGCCCCGGCCGTTATCGCCATCTGTCCCACGGTGGGTAAGGTCAGCGCCGCTCTGTCGACAGAGCTGCGGCCGGCGCCACTCTCGCCCGGGGGTCAGCGGCCCCCGGTCGCGCCCTCCGATGGCTCCCCGATGTCTGTACAGAGCGGCCGGGTCAGCCGCCGCCAGCCGGGCGCCGGCTCTACGACCGCGACCCCGCTGGGCCGCTGCCAAACGGTCGGCGGCAACACTCGGGCGGCGCAGCCTTGAGCAGACGTGGGCGCAGCGACTAGAGACGGGCGCTGCGGCGCGCCGCGCGCCGAGGTGCTCTGATTTCGTGTCGCCCGGTGGGAGTGGTCCGCTCCATGACCTCCGCTATCTGAGTCGCCATCAGCGACGTCCCGACAGGGGCGAAACTTCGTGTTTCTGAAACCACGGACTGCAAGTGTGCATCTCTTCACACCACGAACGCCTGTGATTTGGGACGGGCTAAATCCGAAAGCTCAAACATCAATGAGCCTGGCTTACAGCCACCCCCTAAAGTTGCATCAAGGTCCATCAGGCCTGCCTTCAGGGGTCTTATCAGGGTGCAAGGGATCGCCTGGTACTGAGATGACGTCAGACACTCTCACACCGATCGACGAGCCATGAAAACGAATATGGAATCGAATGTCTCACTCGATTGACTAATATCGCCTGTTCACGATCTATTTGACACGGTTTGTCAGAACCAGTGGCCACCGATACTCATTTGGGGGCTTGTTTGTTCAGTTGCCCCGGGAACGATGCACCATATATATATATATATATATATATATATATATATATATATATATATATATATATACAGGGCTACGTTTTCTCGTTTTTAACCCCCTTCCCGTTCTTTGCTGGCGATCCGAGCTGAACGCGCAGCAAATGAGTTGGCAGCTCGGATGCAAGCCTTAATGCCGTCATACGCGACCCACTGCAAAGTCAGCAGCCAACGGTTAACGCCGATAGCCAGCAGAGGTAGCAGCCAACGCTGGTGGGATTTTTCCGTCGAAACCTCCACATGTCAGTAGCTATTAAGCCTGCGATAAAAAGTTGTGGCGGCGCCCTTGAGCTGCTGACTGAAACTGCCCATCTGTGCTCTTGCGTGTCATCGATGTTAGTCCAAGGCTAGCCGAGCTTAATGCACACGCAGAAGGTGCGGGTATCGGTACAGACAAGGCCGTCGATGTTGCTTGGTCACAAGGGATCTTTATGCGCCAGTCGCAGTGGTCATAAACAAAGATAGGTCGATAGTGATGTTGGTGTAGCTGAGATGCACAAGAATACTTCAATATGTAGTGCAATATGAGTCTGACCATTCACATACCATTGTTTAGATGGTCTTCCCTCCCATATTTAGACCTTACGAAAGGTGGGATTTCCAACCAACGGAAGGCTGTTTTGGGGTTTCACCCAGCGCAGACAAACAAACGGAAATGATGATGGGGCCGCAAAGGCCAGCTAAATCCTCCCTTCTGCGAACCTTATCTCATCGCGCTGAAGGCTGTTAATGCGCTGATTTCTACCCCATCGATGTGAACACTCACATTTCTGCGAAGCAAATATGACCGACCACAGCCTTGGTGGATTTGCTGATGTATTGTAGCTTCTTGCTACCTCCATTTTTTGCTAGAAACGTGCCAGTCTTTCTCGCTACACATATCAGATATTGATCCAATGGGCAATGAGCATCACAAAATAAGCATGGATTCTCGCATTTCTTGACTACAGGTGCTGGGACGGGAATCGATGACAGGGAGGCGGAGTGCACCGTCTTAATGTCAATGAATAGTGTCCAAAAGTACGTAACAACGTCATGTAATGTCGTATGGAGTGCCCAGGATTTGTTAACAAAGCTTCTCAGATGGGATTTGCGGACAGGTCAGTGCTCAAATGACCTCGTAATGGAGTAGTCAAACATCCACGCTTGCTACTCCGTTATGAACTTTGCGCACGGACACATTACAGCTGATTTTTTTATCTAAATTTGGCCAGACGTGACATGATCAGATTGTTTTAAGTTACAACGCTGATAGGTTGAAAAAGGAACTAGGGTGAGAAGGAGGCATTCAGTTACAAAACGAACGCTCGGAGCCAACCACTGGCTTACTTGGCCGGTGCATAACGCTGGCATACTAGCTATAACGCAGCGTATTGCAGTGCTAGAAAAAGCGTTTTGACCTCACATTTCAAATGATAAGTGCCCCAAAAGCACACGATGTCTAACAAAAAGCCTGCAAAAAAACAATAAGCCTGTCTTCATCTCAATTTGTGGTCATGTCGCCAGCATGGTAAATGCACAGTCATTTTTGTTTTATTTTCACTGAACGGTTTTCACAGCCTGTAAGGACCTTTTCAGTCCTTAGCCTCGTGAACATCTACACAAGCATCTCACCATTGATCCACCATGGTCATTAATTTATGCTATGTCACGTTCAGAGGGAAATAGTGTGGTTTTTGCTGCCTGTCATGGTCCATGGAATTTAGCCCAAACAATTCGGGAAGACTCTTACTCCACCGCCAGCAAATCGAGGCTGATTATGTTAGTGGTAGATGATGCAGCAATGTTTCTTTGACGTAAATCTGTAGACCTGACCCTAAACAGTACCGGTTAAGACACTGGCCAGATTTGGTGCCACCTCACTACATTGTTTGCAGGCCATTATACCTGTGTCCGGCACCGACTTCCAGCTTGCTCACTAAGATTCGAAATCCATTAGGATGCTTCACTGATGTAAGAGATTCACGGGATATCAAAATATTTCGGACGCATGGTTGAAGATGTGACCGTCTCCATGCTATATTGCGCTTTGCCCTTCAGTATGCGATGTTAAGGCTCGTTCAAGACATGCACTCCAGCCATTCTGACTAGCGCTGGCACATGGCCTCTTTTATCACAAGCTGCTCGATGGCATTACACCTGATGATGAGCGCTACAAAACACACTACGCTAACTGAAGTTGCGAGCACCGAGAGCAGCAGCCGTTCCACGACAACACTCGCAAGCACGGCGTTCTTCTCACATCTCTCAGCCAGGCCGGCTATGCCCTTCCGCTTTGACAAGTCGTGCCGACTCGAGAATCGCGAGGCATGGTGAGGTCGCACCATCGCGGAAGTAACCCCAATTCAAACACGGACGCGGCGCCGCCAAACTCGCCTGCAAACACCGTGCGCCGCCTGGAAAAATAGCCGGGAAGGCCACTGCGCGAAATTCTGCGACAGGAAGAGAGGCCGCGTCGGCGGGTCGCCGCCGGCCGGCGGAGCGCCCCGGGCGTCCAGGTCCGTGCAGCGACCTTGCGCTCGAGCCGGTGATTCGCCCAGCCACGCGCGTAAAAGTGGCCTGGCGCTGCTGTATTTATGAAGCGCGCGCCCGCCGGCCGGTGCTAGTTGGTCCTGCGGCGTGATTCCAATCGGAGGTAAGCGGCACTTGGCCGGGAGCGCGAGGAGCGCCCGTCCGAGGCGCACGGGCACGGGCGGTGGGCGGAGGGAGCGCAGAGGCGCAGCTCAGTTCTATCCTCCGACGCCTGTCTTGTTTCATTTCAAATACTTAAATGTATTAAGCGAGTTTTTGTCAACGTTTGTCGCCTTCTGTTCGGGGTGCACCATTTTGCGCTGCTGTGTTATCCAATAACAGTGTATTACATGCCATCACGCTCCCACAAAAACTCATCACTCCACTTCTGACCATCGCACCCCTGACCAGTCGTGTCAGTTTCCCCCTCCGGCCTGTGGCAAGAATGGTACAAAACCATGCTATCATTATCGAGTACCACTGCTAGTTTGTCTGCCACTGCCAAAAAGGCACTAAATGGGTTCTATTACTGGGAGATTGTCTCGTCTATGGGCGCTGAGTGAGAGCAGACTGATCTAAACCTGAACGCTTCGTCCGGCGTTAAATGCAGCTTTTGTGTGATGGAAGTAACTGAGATGCTGCTAATATCATGCGATTGCTGTGCAGTGTAGGCTTTTAGGGTGACACCGCGCTTAATATCGATGCTTTATCTTGGAACTGGCCGCCTTGTTGAAGTACGTCATATTGGAAGGCATTGTGCTGGCTCCTGCTTTTCAACGTTTTATTTAATCTGCCCGGCTTCATTGCATTTTCATTCGTTCGTTAAACCTTATTCCTCTGCTCATTTTGAGGACTTGGCTAAGTAAGTGAACAGCCTTGCTGAGTAAGAGTCGCGCTACCCACGTATTCGTGAGAAACGTTTTGAAACGATGCTTCATGTGGCATACTGCTTGTGACCCGTACAATCTAGTTATGCTCCTTCATCGTCGTTGAATACTAATCACTAAGCGCACTCATCACTCGGCACATTTTTCAATTACGTTGCAGGCAGAGTCACAGATTATGGGTGTCCCAAACAACTGACGTTGTTTTTGCTTAAGTGCTACCGCTTAACCCACTCCATCGTCGATGCACACCGCAAGGCAAATCTGAATTTTAGTGCCAGCTTTTCTTCTCAGAAGAAATTACTCATAATGTAACGCACGGTCACCAGTCACCCAAAACAAATACATCACGACAACTGTTGAAGCACAATAACCCCACCGCTATAACCAATAGCTTTACCAAACCACAGACCCCCACACAAAACGAACTCAGGCGCCGCGTGAACGGAGCGACTTGAAAGCCGCATAGAAACGTAACCGTCCATTAGGATTGTGTAACGTCACGCGTACTGGCTTCTCGTGCGTCCCAGCCACTGCTGCGGCGGATGACGCCGTTGTTAGAGCCGCTTCTTTCGCTGCCGCTCATCCGCGAATGCCAAGACGGCTTATTCGGTTTGGCTTCTTTGATACCAGCAACGGTCTGCTGGCTGGCATGCGGCATTCCTGCGAACAGATCCAGTACTCAGATCGCGAGGAGCCTGCACGTCTCCACGCGGTGGCTTTCTTTGTTTTCACCTGGCGAAGAGTCTCGGCCATTGCAGCGGCGACCGTCCAGCAACGCTCTGACGTCACAGACTGGCGTGGGGCACCGCCTGGCCTTGGGGCAGCGGTCGTGGCAGCGCTGTTTACGGAACTGCATCATAAAGATCGGGCATCGCTGGCCGGCGTGGCTGGAGCACGGATAATCGGCGCCGGTTAATGGCCCGCACCTGAGCCAAATTGTGTGAGTCGCCTGGAGCCAGAGCGAGGCCCCCTCCGGATGGCGGTACTTGTCACGACCCGGATACAGGCCGTGTTCAGAGAAGATTGACGAGCTGATGCCGGCCGGCGATGGCACGTGTTCAAGGGCAAGCAGTCGTGAGCCGGCTGGCGTTTACTCGGTATTTAATAAGATTGTGGCGTTGGGACTGCTTGGGAAATGTGTCGCCCTCGACTTGGTCAAAGAACCAGAAAACGGGCTACCACGCAAAGCTATTGATAGATGGCTCCGATTGGCTCGAGACTGCGCTCGTCATCCGGTACATGCACTTAAATCATAAAGCTCATCGGTCTGAACGCTGTCTGAGGGTTGCCCAGCAACCGTCATCAGAACTCTAACCCTTCACATCGCTCGCTAGCTACCAAAAAATAATTGGACGACGGTTGCTTAGCAACTGTCGTCAGAGCACTATTCCGTCACATCGCTCGCAAGCTACCAAATAACTGGGCTTTTCTATGAGGCATTCTTGTGGCGTATTTTTAGACATGCTATGGATGGGGTTGTCTGATTAGTGGTCTGCCGAGATGTGGGCTCTGTCCTATTCTTATTATAATGAAAACCTTCTGCACCTGGCTCAAAGATCAGGAAAAGAGCGCCGGCTATTCACGGGCGTGCGGTCGAAGTCGCAGCGGAAAATACGGCAGCAGTATGCACCACCAGCGTCATGTGCACCCCAGGAAAATTCCGTCCGGCGCACGTCGTGCGCACGCGACCACGTGGCCTCAGAGGCCCGGCCTGTCACTGGCCGCGGGCGCTGCCAAGAAATGGATCAACGCTACCAAGGGCTAAGACGGCATGGTCGTCACACCTCACTCCAAGGTGAATGAAGAAATGAAGTGACGAAACAGGGCGGCGAGGTCCCCTCGGCCGGCTCGTGGTCCCCTGTTGAGAAACACGACGCCGGCGCCGACGGAGGAAGACCCGCGCGTTGACCTGATTCCGTGCCCGCGGCAGCCGCGCCTCTGAGAAGCGCAGACTAATGACCAGGGCGTGATGAAACCACGGCGCGTTACCTTTCACGGCGGCTCGCGCCGGCCACCGCCCGTCTGCACCCGGCCTTGGAGCGGCGGATTGCAATCAGCGTTTGACCAGCCGTTGCCTCATCCCCAAATCAGCAGATGGTTCACCAGTCGCCCTTCGGACCATCTGATACGTGGCTGCGGCCGGCTAAGGCCGTGGTCACCCGTCGAGAATGCCGTGATCCAAGGTGAAGATGATGAGCATCGTAACTTCAGCAATCCGAGAGCTTTCGCGGCCTAGCAAGGCGCAGCTGTTACAGTTGCCAGTGTATTTGGATGCCAGAGCAAACGCCGACGTCTACAGCGTCTTCAGATCCCTGAGGGCTGACAGCCAGACACCTGGCTGGGCGCATTAGGATTGGAGGCACTCTGCCAGCGGTGCCGCGGTTTCAGTCGCTGCAGTCGCTGTGAGAGACTGCGACGCCACCGGCGAGCGCAGTTAAAGGCGACACGAAATGGCTGAATATGTTTTGTTTTTTTTTTACAGCGGTGCTAAGAAAATTTCGAATGCACTTCGGCCAGAGCAAAGCCCATTATGTACACCCTGAGAACAACCGTTTCAGCATGAGTGTGGTGATGAATACAGTGCATTGGCCGCGGCGCTGTTCCCTTTTTGTACGGGTTAAACATTAATACAAAGTGGTACAAATAAAAATCGAATTCTAAAGCCTTTTCCGCCCAGTCCGTCCCACGTTCTTTCTATCGTGCAGGCTAGCCCAGCGTTTCAGCTCCAGGGAATGGTGTGTTCTCTGGGACGACGACTTCACGACCGCTGTTGTTGCAGGTGATGCTGCTCAGGTTGTGTTTGGTCGCCGCCCTGGTGGCGGTGGCTGCCAGTCAGTCCAGGCTCCGCCCGAGACAGTGAGTACCAGTGACATCAGTCGCGTTTTAAAGATCGCAAACCGATTCAAGCTGATAGGTTCTTTGGTCGGTCGTGGAAAACATGTCGCTTTTCTGAACCGGCTAAGTGTTTAAGGCAATTTGATAGATCACATATTTTCAAACATCGCCCCAAATGAGTAATAATGCGTCAAGTTTGTACTCCAACTAAACAGTTTTACACTTCACTGGCTGCAATTCCAAGAGTAAATGACTCTTGGCTTTTTGACAGATATGAAAACATGACGAGACAGTACGTATCATGCCCCCCAAATGCAGTAAAATCTCGAATATGTTACCTTTCAAGACCACTTGTCAGTTAAACACGTAGAACCGATGGAAAAAAGCAAAGGAAAGAACCATTTGAAAGGACGCCATTGTCATATACATGGAAAACGTGCAAGTGCAATAACCACTGTCGAGCGTTTCACAATTACGGCAATTTTCTGAACACTCAACCAAACCGGTCAGTTTTGGTCATAATACCGACATGAAACTTGCTATCGGTCTGGAAGAGTTTAAAAGTTGCTCAAATACGGCATCACTAGTTCATTAGCTGGCGTTTCTCATGCCACGTCTCGGATGCAAGGCCCGCGGTCCATGTTATCCCAGCTCTGGGGAACCCACCGATCGCCAACTAACGCCAACGACATACCCGATTGGTTATTGTAAAGACATTTGAAGATTAACGTTCAGCGCCAAGACGAAGGCGGGCGACCAGATTTGTCGAAGTGGCGGGGCCGGCTAGCGATGGATCCCGTTCGAGTCACGTGCTGGTCCTGGCGATGTCAATGTCAACCGGCACATGTCGCCATTCTTTAACTCTTAAATATCGGATTAAAGGTGCGGTGGGTGTTGTGGGCCACGGAATTAAAAGGAGTTTTATGTCTGTTAGCAGCTTCAAATGCCTCAAGTACTGTCTTACCACACCACAAATGGTTCTAGCTGTCTAAAAACCACTGACTAAGCATAGAAACCGGCCTAGACCTATGACTGCATTATTTCACGCATACATTTCTCAGAGAAGTGCATTTCCTACCTCTTTTAGCTTACGTCCAGCTGCAGCTGGCATGCATGAGGCATGGAAAGAAACCACTATGGCGAAGTGGCTGATGCCATCTGAAGAAGTCTCGTGCATTTCTATGACGTGTGCTGCGTGTTGCAGGCAGCAGAGGGTCCAGTTCCCGCAAACCTCGACGGACCGGTTCGGTCGGCGCACTACCACCACCACCACAACCAGCACCACAACCACCCCGGCTACCAAGACCAGTGAGGGCACCCTGCTGGTGCCCCCCATCCCGGAGAAATGCGCTACGCGTGAGTACCGTGACGCGGGGGGGGGGAGGGGGGAGGAGCGCGCGTGGCGGACGAAGTCGGCACCTATTCCCTCTCGGCCTGCCATTCAGCCGCCGTTTGTACACCGCACAATATCACTGCCCTTGTGCGCATTTCCTGGCGATGAGGCGATACGCAGCAATGGAACTAACGTAAGTCAACGATATCTTCCCCTAAAGGATTGTTCATTGCGTGCGCGGTCCTTTGCGCACGCTTCCCAGCACAGGCTTACTTGCACCAACAGTGGCCTTTCGTATTTCTCAAGTTGATCAGTGCATTGGCGAGGGGCATTATCCACGTAAATAAGATGGTAGTAATAGCCTTATTCCTCGGAGAAAACTGGGAGAATGAACATATAGATAGGTTGATATTTCGGCAACATGCATCTATCGAAACAATAGCAGAGGTGATTTTTTCGGCAAGGTACGTTTATCGAAACAAAAGCAACAATACCCAACTATATCTCCATTCTACTGGTTTTCCACGGAGGAATAAGGCTATTACTACTGTGTTATCTCGTATTTCGCTATCGATAGTCCAGCTGTGTTGTGCGTTTGCACAAATAGGCGCAGCGCAATCCTTATTGTCAGTGCCCTTTCTTGATATCCCTTTTTTCTTAAAAAGGGAACGCAATGCACGTCGTCACGCCCGTTTTATGGAGTGCTAGCGACTGTATTAGATTATATTCCCGTGGAGGCCTGGGGTCGAGTCCTGGTTGCAGCCATGGCCCATGTGGGAGCCCGAAGCGCCGACCACTCGGCCAATACGCCCCCCCCCCCCCTCTCCCTTTCGGTTTCCCCCTGTGCATCTCGGGCATACCTGGCGCCAATCTCGAGTGGCGAGGCCTAATAGGGCGGCATATCGGCTATGTCTGGTCTGTGATATACCGACATTGGTTGCCTGCGACCTTTACGGCATCTGTAGGAATCATTTGCAGGAATGCCTGGTACGTCCTGGCTTCCTACAAATGCACTGACATCGGCCACCGAATGAGTATAGATTTGCATCTATCAGGCTATAAGCCATGTTTGGTGCCGCCAAGGACGCGATCCTTCGATTGTTATCCGATTAATAGTTTTGAGCAGCCCAATCTGTAAGGATTATGGTAAACATTTGAATATCACATTTCTCTTTCAGCAATCCCTCGCTACGAGGCCCAGCGGACATTGTAATGATGCAAAGTCGTGTTCACAATTACGTGGAGTTTTCCAACTTATCAGTCATGTACTCAATAGCCAATTTATTGCACCACCGTGCGATCCTAACTGCACGACAGATCCCACCGCCGCCCAAACTGGGGTCGCCATGCATGACACACATTGCCACGAGCCCGCCCGGTCAAGCTGTCAAACGGTTGACCACCGCAACGTGTCTTAAATGCACGGGCTGGTGACCGACCTGCACAGCCCGCCCTCTCCGCGCTCGCCTCCCGCCGGCGGCTGCACTGTCCAACCCGCCCTCCCTGCACTCGCCTCCCACCGGCGGCTGTACCGTCCAGCCCGCCCTCCTCACGCTCGCCTCCCGCCAGCGGCTGTACCGTCCAGCCCGCCCTCCTCACGCTCGCCTCCCGCCAGCGGCTGTACCGTCCAGCCCGCCCTCCTCACGCTCGCCTCCCACCGGCGGCTGTACCGTCCAGCCCGCCCTCCTCACGCTCGCCTCCCGCCAGCGGCGGCACCGTCCAGCCCGCCCTCCCTGAACTCGCCTCCCACCGGCGGCTGCACCGTCCAGCCCGCCCTCCCTCCACTCGCCTCCCGCCAGCGGCTGCACCGTCCAGCCCGCCCTCCCTGAACTCGCCTCCCACCGGCGGCTGCACCGTCCAGCCCGCCCTCTCTGCAATTGCCTCCCGCCAGCGGCTGTACCGTCCAGCTCCCCCCCCCCCCCCCCCTCTCCCCGCTCTCGCCTCTCGCCGGCGGCTGCACTGCTGTGCACAGCACCGATGCCGTGCACAGGTCGTGTGCACAGCACCACCGCAAGCGGCGGCGGCGAGCAGCTAATGCGATTCGTGACGGGGACCGGCGCTGGGCTGTCGCCGGGACTCCCAGCGGCCTTGGGTCGGAGCGGACCACGACAGGCAGCCGGCGCTTGCGCTGTTCACTGGCGTCTGTGGAGCAGAGCATGCCGTGCCTACCGCCCGTTGGGCCTGCGATGGCGGAGAACGTGCGGCAAGGGCGAGAGGCACACGACGCGATGGCGGAGAATGGGGCGGTGCTGTGAGCGAGAAAAATGGTATTAGGAAACGGGTGATACCCTTTTTTCTACTTTTCTGGAGCAGACAATTGGCGTGCTGCAAACTGTGTCTCGGTTCTCATGAACCGGTCCCTTGTGCCAATGTCTTGCCAAAAATTTGAACTCTCAGAGCTTGGTCCTGCTCATGACCGAAAGTCGGCATTCACAGTACTTTGAACATTTTGTACGTTATGCTACAAGAAGACCCGGCTTTCGATTTTCCACAATATTGTAGCTACGGGGGCGCAGATGCCTCACTCTCATATTGCGCCAGAGGTTTGAAGATGACCGCCTGGTACCAGCGGCTTCTTTTCAGATAAGGCAGTGGGTGGTTGCGTTCCGTTGGCTTTCCGTCGTTTGAGAAGCGACCTGAGATTTGGGCGCGAGTGAATTGCGATGTATCTTTTTTTTAAGTTCAGCATTGATCGCATCACCCTTCTGATGTGTGATCCCAGCTTCCTGCAAGGTTGCGACGCTTTGCCGTAACATCGTCTAGATATTTCAAGCCAAAAATGCTCCCCAGCCGAAAGGTCCCGTGCTTCAGAAGTCTTGAGACGTGGCAGCTGATGACGTTCGAGGTGAGAGTAGACGTCACTGTCCACTTAGCCCGATGGCTAGATTGCGGGATATATATATATATATATATATATATATATATATATATATATATATATATATATATATATATATGCAACCATGTGAATCGAAATATGAGGCGGGATTAGATCAACACCTTAGCAGCAAGCTTATAGGGAATTAAGATGAGTATGCTACAATGGTCCAGTTTCGTCATGCCACCAAGCACGTGCTGGTGGGGTATACACATCCACTGCTAGGGGAGTCTGATGCCAGGTCACTGACGAAACAAATATCTAAATATGTTCGGTTCCATTGCAGATAGCACGGTGAAACAGCAAAATATTACCCTGGTTTTCGTAAGGTGGGTTGGGTTGGCGACATAAGCGCTATGTCCAAAACCAATGTGATTAAAACTGTCGGATACGGAAGAAGCAAACCCAAAGGCCTAATCTACGCTGTGAAACTCCGTCAATCGGTGAAAGTTAAAACATCACGGATTCCATGTAAGCATTTCTTACTGTGATATGCAGGCGTGTTGCTAAAAATTATTCAGAAAGGCAACACATTTCGCCAGAATATTGAATCGAATGATACATTATCCAGAAATACATTAGCCAAAAAACTTCAATACATAAACAATAAAAGCTCATCAATAGATAAAAAGAAGGGCATTCGCTGATGTTATGTGTTGTAAAAGTATCATCCCGCTGCTGGTTTAGGTGATCTTAATTTTCTTATTATTACCTCTTCGGGCACCAAGTCAGATGCTCATTTAGTTGATTTTTCTTCGAGACTTGACATGTTTTCTTCTTATGCACATCCATAAAATACGAGACAAACACGGCCTTTGCATCTACAAAGCTCCCTGCTCTCAAAACCACTTACAAAGTGAAAACCATGCCAAGTCACCTTCAGGTCTTAAAGGAAACACTCCATTCAACAGATCTGCTCACAATTTACGGTAAGCGTCGTGTTTTCAGCTCTGCCATTGAACTGAAGTCAAGCTACCTAATTTGGGCTTCGCTCCAAACCTTGTCGGAGCCAACTGTCCGCGCCACTTCAGACAATACGGCGCATTACATCAGGCCATAAGGTGTCTGCGACGTCTACTTTTCTTTTGATGGTAGCTTTCATCACAGTTGCCAATATTTTCGGGTAGGTACTGCGCTGTCGCTCTCTGCGGCGCTGGAGTCACTTATCGCTTCACGAGAGCCCATTGCCACTCATTGCCACTCAGAGCCCATTGCCCATTCTCGTGTTCCCAGTCCGAATCACATTGGCTCGGGCCTATAGCTTACTGCTGTATCCACCACCGGAATATAGCTCGATTTCAATGCACATACTAGCTGCACTCCACGTCTTACGTATAATTTTGCGGTTCTGGGAACAATGTTTGGCTACGTTGATATAATGTTTCCTTCCATTAGCATTTCACAAACATATGCTGTCATATGCCTGCCACTTATTATCTCATTTATTTTGGGAACTATTCTCCGCTCCTCCTCCTCTGCCTCTCTCTCTCTCTCTCTCACTCTCTCTTCCTCTCCCTCCCCCCCCCCTCTCTCCTCTCTCTCTCCTCTCTCCTCTCTCTCTCTCTCTCTCTCTCTCTCTCTCTCTCTCTCTCTCCCTCTCCATCTATCCCCTCCCTCGCTGTTGCTCTGGCCACGCTCCCTCAGTCTCCACATCTGCTGCCAGGCGCAGCGTCCCTGGCCGTCTCGTAATCCCCGGAGCTCGGCCGGTCAAGTTCAGGCTAACGGCGCCACCATCGCCGCGCCACACCGGAGTAAAAGTTGTTTGCCCACAGTGGCATTGGGACGGACAGTGAAAGTGCCGCGCGCCGCTACACGCCGCCTGAGCCGGCGGGGCACATAGAGAAACACTCGGCACCATCCCGCGCGCTTGCTTCGCTACTGCTCGGCTCGGCGCCGATGCGCTCGGAGCTAGACTTGGCAGGAGGCTCGCACCACACAGCCATCAGACGGTTGGGGCGAGGCTTCGGCGCCAGGCTGTACACTAATGGTGACATGGGCCGCCTGGCAGGCGACGCCCACAGCTTAGAACACGACGACTGGCTTTATATTGAAAAAAATCGATTTCATTTCACTTGCCAGGTAATTGGCGTGCATGGTTTAATAAGGAGGTGGAAATGTACAGAACTGCTGTTTTGTTATAACTAGAAAAGCTATGGTTTTATTTTAATCATAAATATGATGTTTCTGATTTTACTGAAATAAGGTACTCAGAGACTCTATGGAGAATGTCATCTTCGACACAGACCCCGTGAGGCGGCATAGTACACAATGGAAAGTCTGCAGATATTCTTGTTGAGTTAATACACTTAGATAAGCTACAATTTCAAAAAGTGTCTAGGTGAGATATTTTGATATGACAACCTTCTCAAGGATGCAGTGGCTCAACTAAAACAAGCTATATCGCACGGGGCAACTGCTGTTAGTGGTTCCGTTTCCATGGCCCGCACAAAAATCACCCATTTTTCCAAGTTTGACGGCAAGGATTTCTGAGCATTCTAATTACCCGCAAAAACACAGTCAGCGGCGGCTGCCATTTTAGACCACGTTTTGCAGTCGCGGGGATTCAAAAGTCGTTAATGGCCAGAAAGTCCGCATGTGGCCGCGGTTAGAGCCCACACCCCACAGCTGCGGTAACCCCACCCTCCGCGGCGGCGGAGGGTGGGGTTACTGCTCCGCTGGGAAAGCTCCGCTCCAAACTCCGTCGTCGACCCGCAGGTCCCAAGCACTGGAAGCTGGGGAGAAACTGGTACTTCTATTCGGCCGATGAGGCCGAGTTCCAGGAGACCGACCCGGAGTCGGGCGAGCTGGTCGGCAAGCGGTACGACTGGCTGGACGCCAGGAACCTCTGCCGGCGCTACTGTATGGACAGCATCAACATCGAGAGTGAAGCCGAGTGGGAGATGGTGAAGGGCAACGTCACCGACCGTGAGCACAGCTTCAGCGCGACGCCGTTGTCAGCGGAAGTCATTGTGATGCGGCTTTCGGTTGTCGTGGAGAAAATACGATAAGTTAAAAGGCTGTAAACAGTAAGCAAGCAGATGCTTAAGATCAAACGTTGTGCAGATTCGAGCACTCTCATGTTCGCCCTCCGAACCATCCCACAGGAGTGTGTCCCTGTAGTTTATGACGCGCTGTGGCCGCAGCTGTACAATGCACAGGGTCTTTGCAGTCATGTGTTGTTGTAATTAGCCTGTTTAGCACGTAACCTGTTTAAGGAGCTGATCTGAACATCTGCCGTCGGTTTTCAGGTGACATCATCTACATCTGGACCTCGGGCCGTCTTTGTGACTTCAAGGGCTGCGAATCGCGTGAGGACCTCAAGCCCCTTGACGTCAACGGCTGGTTCTGGTCGGGAACCAACGTCAAGCTCGCTCCCACCAACAAGACGCCGCCGGGTAAGCCGTCAGACGAAGCTGCGGCAAGCTGGAACAGTTGGCTCACAGCTGGATAAGCGCGTGATCTAATTTAAGGTCGAATGACGAGTGAGTCTTAATGAGGTCGTCATATTGTCAGATGCGGGTGTGCTCCCATGACTGTGAGTGCGTGAATGTGAGTGAAAATGGCCCCATCAATCGCTCTCGCGGCACTCGTTCATCTAACGGAGAGGGCGAAGTGCAATGTCAATAGCTGCACGTCGGCGGTGATAATTCAAGCGATTTAGATGATCGTTGTCGCCTAAAAAAGTCAAGTATACAAGCCTTGAGTCGCTTTTGGTGTTCAGTAAGCCTCTGGGGCCATTACGATCCCCACGGCGTGCTGTGCTGAGCACTGGTGCGTGTTTTAAGTTGGCGAGCTGTCACGTGACGTCTTCCACAGGCTGGCGCACACAGCCGTGGTCGCAGACCGGCCATCTGAAGAAGCCGCAGCCGGACAACGCCGAATATGGCATCAACCAGACCTCGGAGCCGTGCCTGGGCATCCTGAACGGCATCTACAACGACGGCGTCTCCTGGCACGACATCGCCTGCTACCACAAGAAGCCCGTCTTCTGCGAGGACAGCAAGGTTCTGCTCGACTACGCTCGCGCCATCAGCCAGCGCGACGGTCTGGGCCTCACCATCGAATAGGACGACAGCTGCCGGTGACGCGCGGCACTAGCATTTGTGAGAGATGCCACCAGACGGCGACACGGATCACGACGGAACGAGGACGGGAGCTTGAGAGCACGTTCAACAACAGCAGTAGATAACAACGTTCGTTCAACGGTGGCGATGCTGTTGCTTGCTTATGTCCGCAGACTGGCTCGATGGGGGGATGTTGTTACTGAATGTTTGTGTGATACGGACAAAGGGGTCCACAACAGTGCGGAAAAACAGGTCGCAAACGTGCTTTACTGAATACCAAAACGTTAAACGGCGCTCTCACTCGCGATGGACAAACGAAGCCCAAACAATCTACTGTTTCGGCCATGCTTCACTGGAAGATACATGAACCGAACTGTTTTTGTTTGAAATTGAAATACACACCTGTAATAGGTAACATTTACCTACTTGTTTTATGGAACAGAATCAGACGAAAAAGGTACCGTGACGCGAGGTGCAGCATCCAGCCAACAAGCATGGCATGAAATGTGCGCACAGATCAGTGATATGCAGACTCCCTGGATACATTGCCGAATCCTAGGCTGAATCATCAGTAGGAAAATAGCCCACCCGCTACGGCCACCACGCGATCGCTGAAGCCCAACGCGCATTCCATGTCAAAGCGTCCTTCTGTTGTCATAAAGGAAGGTCAAACCTCAAGCTTGTATTGATCTGACGAAAATAGTGTATCATCAATAATGGCTTCAACAATAGGCTACCTTCAATGTAATTAAAGCCACTGATGAACAGAGGAAAATGTGCTGATCTCCGAAATTGTGCAAATGAAATGTAAAGAGGGCCCCATGGATGCTGAGTACTTTGAATGCAGCTGTTATGTATAACTGTGCTTGCTTACCACGTCATTATGTTTGAATATGCTGTGCTCACCATTTCTGATCATGTCACCATTATTGCTAGAAACATCAGCAGCAGATTGCTGAAATCTGGCTAATGCATTTTCTTCAGCCTTTCCTCCCCAGCTCGCAACTTATCTAGAGTCGGATAGTATCCTACGGTCTTTGTCCGCTGAACATGGCTCCACCTAGTCAGCTTGCACCCGGGAACGGAGGAATGGAGAAACTTGACTGAAGGTGATGCCAAAAAATACACCCCTGTTCTGAGCTATTCAGATTGGCTAGGGCAGCTGCAAGGCAAACACTGAATGAGGAATTCACTATGATGCAATCCTTGCAAGCAATACTTGTCAACAAGTTCAACATAGCCAGCATAGCACAGCAAACTGGAATAAGCACTGGCCACCTGCCAAAGAAGGAGTCAAGTGCTTAGTTCAAAAAGCTGTGGCTCGCAACGCAGATAACGTTTTGACTGGTCATATACCTTACCCTATGCACGTGCCCCCTGCAAATAGCGCAACGGCCAAAGGTCGCCAAGTGCATGATGGCACCCCGCTTGACCCTGTTCATGCCATCCTTGATGTTATCCCACCAGCCCGATGCCAACTCCATAACCATCACGACATACTGCCCGGCCGCCGCTGCCGGCGCCACTGGCCTGCTCGTGAGATAGCGGTGCGATGTGGTCTCGTCGCCGTCCACATGCGGCGTGAGCACCGCGGTGTTCGTGCGAGGCTGCGAGGCGCGATAGACGGTGCGACCTTGACGGTGAGGGCTGCTGGACGCAGGCTGACACGTGCAAGCTCTTTTCAGGATAGCATTACCAGACCTTTTCGCTCTGATATTTTGTGATATTTTGCTCAAAAGTGGCAAATAATGCTGATTTCTCACCAGAAAACCACCCCAAAGATGGCTTCAGAGCTGCCGTCCTGATTGAGATCGCGTTGTGGTGTATACCTATCGTACTGGTGGCTTGTTTAAGATCAGATCATCCTAGATCAAGCTAGGCTGATCTTTGACCGTTGTGACAAGACCTCACCCTGTGAAGGTTATACAGCTTAAGCTTTAATGGCACATACCTTACATGGTCTTAAATAGCACATATCTTACATGGCACCTGGATGTTCTGATGGGACAATGCAGCAACAGCCATATCAATGCTTAAAACCTCTTTAAACTAGCATGACATCTTGCCCGTCACATAGGGTGATGTCAACTAGTGCCTATCTGGTACATGCTTCCAAGACAATTTTCTAACGTTTTAACGTCGTGTTTCACATTGTTGCAGCATGCTTGGTTCTTGAGACATAAGTGCCGGGGGGGGGGGGGGGGTCAAAGTGCTGTTTTCACAGCTATGACCTTTTAAACTATCAAGGGCCACACTCATCACTTCCCAGCCACATTTAAAGAATATAGTTCAACAGTAACTTTTGAATGACGTTTCCCGGTGGCTCTAATTTGCTTAGATTTTGTAGACGTTAGAGGAAGTTTTGAGGTCTCTTCGTAGGGCCAACGTATGTAGTCAAGCGCTAACCTAATCAATAGGTTCCCACCGTGCTATATATGGCATGGTAGGAGCATTGTAGACGACGACTGTGTCAAACGATAGCTCGCTGGGGCTCTGACGCTCCTCACCATCATGAACAGCTCCCAGAGCTCTGTTCCAGGCCTTCCCGCCGCAGCTGCTGCGACTGAGTCCCCACGTGCGTGTCCGGGCGCAGGATGCAGTGACGTCACTCTGTCAGCAAGACCGTCCAATCAGCGCCTGCAGAGATGCCGTCCTGCTGCAGGATCTACGAGCGCTGGTGGTTCATCACGCTCATGCTCTGCTCCTTTGGCTTCTTCAAGGAGATGCGCCCGTCGGAGCCCTACCTCACAGAAAGTCTGACCAAGTACAACAACATCACCAAAGAGGAGGTAGTCACAGTTGCCTTACATGGTCTTTGCCATATGCTGTTGTTCCGGGGTTTTAGATGACATGCAAGGTCAATGCGAGTTGCTCAGGTCTCAGCTCGTCTACGCTTAAAGGGAATGAATCATCTGGGAATTGACAACGGAACTATCGCTGCCATCAAGCTATTACATGTGCTGAATGTTTTTTGTTCCGTTGCGCTACCCACACCACGCCCAAATGGCTGGTGTCATCACAAGTAACGACAAAGTAAGGCCATGGAGAGCTACCAAACCAAGCGTTCGCGTTTTCCCTCCTACTTGCGGTCACATAAACGCGTAAACAAGCATATCAGTATTAAATTAAGAAAATGAGTGCGTGCGTGCATGTACTTTATCAGCGTATATGCAGGATTGCGAGATGCATGCTTCATTTAAAGCGGACGTTCCACCTTTGAGGATTTTAAAGCGGCATCAAATATGATGTGATAAGCTCGTTTATGACTATTAGTGCACTTCTAAGTGGAAAAGACTGCTCTAGACAGCGCAGTATTTCTGTTAAGTAAATATGCATACATCATACATACATGTTAAGTAAATATCAATACATCATTTATTACAGCCTCGGACCTTGCACAACATTGATTGAGCTAACTGACGGCCGTTATATCTGGAAGTTGTGCTCACGAGTGCCAGATAGGAGCGACTCAACAATTTTTGCTCTTTTTTGGCTTCGATTGTCGCATAGCTCATGGAATGGCAAGATTTAAATGAGGTTATTATAGCGTCATGGAGGCCTGGATGACCTTGAAATAGTCTCCCCCGAAATAGTCTGCACGTCTTCGCGGGCGTACAGCTTATAAGCGAGAGGGGCTGAAGCCTTGAGAAGGGCAGGCCTGTAAACTGCAACAAATAGTCTTCAAGATGGCTATTTCAGTCCAGAACCTCACACAAACATGGTGCACTCTCTTTAGGTGTAAGTGTCGGTCTTGTGTCAAAACTTAAGCGTACATTTATATATGCATATATATATATATATATATATATATATATATACCACAGCAAACTGTTTCCAGTGCTCCCTAGAGAGTTTGTCAGCTATACGCTCTTACGCGTTCTTCATATGGGATGGCTACTCACCGAATTATTCCAGCGCGCTCCTCACTTATCACTACCACAAATCTCTTTTCTTCGACATATTTGCTTAAAATGTGTCAACCTGCGGGAAATATTTTTGTGCATGGCATACGACCAAATCTGTTTAATAAATGACTCAGCAGAACTGTTCTGGACACATATTTATGATATCTGACCATTGTAGTCC